CTATAATTGTAATTTACTTTATTTATTTTTACACTTATAGAATATCCAGTGCTTATTAATGTACTTAAGCACTCTGGAGAATGCTTGTTCTTGTACTTAAGCACTTATGTTAAAGCTTGGGATTATGCTTGTGCTGGTACTTCTAACATATTTAAGTGCTTGTGTTTGTGTTAAGTACATTTCATAGTGCTTGACCCCATACCTGCTTCAAACTATTCTTTCAGTTCAAAGTGATCAGTCTGTATTATACTGTTAGTACAGTAACCTCTCAGTGTTAGTGTTAATGTTTATATGTTGCCTCATATGCTAGTAAATTGAACTAATGCTATGACCTATTCACAGAAGAAATGAAGAAAGCTATTTTATTGTATTTGTACAGTAGCAGCTAACAAAGGAACTTATTTTACAAAAGTAAAATGTCAAATTAAGTAACTATTAACTCATAATGTTCAATAATTAATTACACCAATAACTTCATTAATGAGTTAAATATCTTTAACATCTTCATACACATCAGTCCTATTAATTATAAAAATAATGATAATAATAATTATTATTATTATTACTCATTAGTTATTTTATGCAGTTCATAACTATCATTCTTATCATACACCATATTACTGGCCTCAGTAGGTGACCTGTTATTAGTCAATGATTTATTAGATGTCTTCCTAAATAAAACATAAATTGGCATATCATTTAATCTTATGCTTACAAATAAAGAAGAACAGAAACTGCTAATATTATGAATATGATATTGATCAGTCCAGAGATCACAAGTGCTACAGTTATTCCAACATTAATAGACACTGCTGTATCTGTACTGTCAGTGCCATCATCAACTGGCATTGAACTAGTCACTAGTAATTAAAATAGTTTATTATATTGTAGACACATAGCAAACCTGTTATCAAAGATGTTGTAATACTGTATGATGGTATTATTCTTGATGAACTATGCCAAGTTGATGTTGTAGGTATAATAGTAGATATACTCTTGGCATTACTGGTTGATGATATTACATTTATTGAAGTAGTGGATTCAATACTTGATATTGCTAAAATAAGAGACAAAATGACAAATTATATATAATGATGAAATAATAGTTGCCCAAAACTTTCCATGCTCCCAAAATTATGATGATTTGCTTGCTTATGCTCATTCCTTATAAATATCATCATTTGACTATATTATAGTTCACTTACAGTCATCATCAATTATTCCCAGCTCAGCTTGTGATGGCGTTCCAATATTAATGTTTTGACCTGGAACAAAACCAACCAAAAACATTTCAAATTGTTCTGGTTCAGCGTCATTAATGAAATGAAAATTCACAACAGCTGAGGCTTGACCAGCAGCAAAGCTAACATTTGAAGTTTGTGCCTGCAAGTCAGTACTAACTGATGTAGGAGAAATAAAGAAAGAAGGAAATAGTTCATTAAACATTAAATCATGTGATAATCATCTCACTTGTTGCTGCATTGATTTTAGCTGAAAATGATAAAATAAACAATCAAAAAATAATAGTGAATCATGTAACATTATAATACTCATCTTATAATAACTCACAAGACATAACAGTTGTGATTTCAACTGAACTAGCAGCAGAAATATTACCAGATTTATACACTGTAACAGACACTGGACCCAGAGTACCCTCCCTGGCTGATGGTATGAAGGGCTCAATAGTGTAAAAAGTTTCTAAAAAGGAGATAAATTATATCATATTTAGTATGTTTTATGTATACCTGCAATAGGTCTCATTCCAAAGCCAGCAGGATAGGCATATCCTTTCAGGTCCCCCCACCCAAAAA